AATCATAGTCTCATCAGGTAACTAGGTCAAGACCAAGATATTGAAAATGATGTACATGAAACTTTTAGGAGCATTAAAATCTAAAGCATAATAGGTCTTATGCTTATAGATGCTTAAGGGGACATCCAAATCATCTACATTGTTTATAGTAAACTGCCTAAGGTAGTTCCAACCTTAGTTTAATATATATTTAGTTACCAATGACCGAAACATTTCAGCTTACACCAATCTGATGAGTTAAGCCTTTTTCAACTGATTTTTATACGACCGCAAAAAAATTTTGGGGTCGTATATTGGTATGACGTTGGCGTCGTTGTTGTCGTCGTCCGAAGACCCATTGGTTTTCACACTCTTACTTAAGTTTCAGTGAATGCATCTCTATGAAATTTTACCATAAGGTTCAATACCACAAAAGGAAGGTTGGGATTGATTTTGGGGGTTATGGTACCAACAGTTAAGGAATTAGGGGCCAAAAAGGGGCCAAAAATAAGCATTTTCTAGTTTCCAGACAATAACTTGTGGAATGGTGTATGGATCTTTCTGAAATTATACCACAAGTTTCCATACCACAAAGGGATGGTTAGGATTTGCTTTGGGGGGTTATGGCTCAAACCATTTAGGAATTAGGGGCAAAAAAGGGGGAAAAACAAGGTTGTCCTGGTTAATGGACAAATACTTTAGTACAAAACATAATTTAAAGCAGTGTAAGGGAGATAAATCAAATACAATATTTGAATTACCTCCCTTGCACTGCTTTTAAATTATGTATAAAGTAATGGTTAATGAACAATTAAGACAATTTAAAGCAGTGTGAGGGAGGTAATGATAAATCCAAATACGTTTTGATTACTTCCCTTACACTGCTTTTAAATTATGTTTAAAGAAATGCATATTTATAAAGGAAGACCAGTAAAAATATCTGCAAATGTTGCATCTTTTTTTTTTTTTTACAAAAAAATCCATATGAAAGATTTGACACCATATTTTAAATTCTATTATAGAATAGATTAAGTAAGCACTATGGTAAATTTAAATGGGTAATTGGAAATTTGAACTGCGATTATGACCATATCTTGAGGGAAAGAATTTTTTTGGGGGAAAAGGGGGGGGTAAAAAGAAATTGTTGGGGGTCAATTTTTTCTCATTTCAGATTTCAGAAATTAAAAAGTATTATTCTTTAAATATTTTTTTTTTTTCAAATTTCAAATATTGAAAAATTTCAAGAAGTAATCTTTAATTGCACAGTATGGCGCATTTGATTTGTAAAATCTTTGACCACATTTATTTAATTGTTATGCCGAATCTAACTGTGTATTTAGATTTTTAATTTTGGGTCCAGTTTTCAAATTGGTCTACATTAAGGTCCAAAGGGTCCAAAATTAAACTTAGTTTGATTTTAACAAAAAATGAATATATGGGGTTCTTTGATATGCTGAATCTAAACATGTATTTAGATTTTTGATTTTGGGCCCAGTTTTCAAGTGGGTCCAAATTTGGGTCCAAAATTAAACTTTGTTTGATTTCAACAATAATTAAATATATGGGGTTCTTTGATATGCTGAATCTAACCATGTATTTAGATTTTTTATTTGTGGGCCCCGCTATCAAATTGGTTCATATTGAGGTCAAAAGGGTCCAAAATTAAACTTTGTTTGATTTCATCAAAAATTGAATTATTGAGGTTTTTTTTATATGCCAAATCTAACCGTGTATTAAGATTTTTAATTTTGGGTCCCGTTTTTTAAATTGGTCTACATTAAGGTCCAAAGAGTCCAAAATTAAACTTAGTTTGATTTTAACTAAAATTGAATTCATGGGGTTCTTTGATATGCTGAATCTAAACATGTGTTTAGATTTTTGATTATGGGCCCAGTTTTCAAGTTGGTCCAAGTTGGGGTCCAAAATTAAACTTTGTTTGATTTCAACAAAAATTGAATATATGGGGTTCTTTGATACGCTGAATCTAACCATGTATTTTGATTTTTGGGCCCCGTTATCAAATTAGTCCACATTGAGGTCAAAAGGGTCCAAAATTAAACTTTGTTTGATTTCATCAAAAATTGAATTCTTTGGATTCTTTGATGTGCTGAATCTAACCATGTATTTAGATTTTGGATATTGGACCATAATAGGTAAATTAAAAAATTTTAAGTTCTTAGACCACATTCATTCTGTGTCAGAAACCTATGCTGTGTCAAATATTTAATCACAATCCAAATTCAGAACTGTATCAAGCTTGAATGTTGTGTCCATACATGCCCCAACTGTTCAGGGTTCGACCTCTGCGATCGTATCAAGCTGCACCCAGCGGAGCATTTTATTATAGTTTGTTCTTATGTTGTTCTGTTTCACCACTGTCCCAGGTTAAGGGAGGGATGATCGCTCATAAACATGTTTAACCCCGCCACATTCTTTATGTGTCTGTCCCAAGTCAGGAGCCTGCAGTTAAGTCGTTGTCGTTGACTCATGTCGGTCATATTTGTTTTTCGTAAATTGTTTTGTAATAAATTTGGCTTAGTTAGTTTTCTCAATTGAATTGTTTCATATTGTTTATGTCAGGGCCTTTTATAGCCGACTATACGGTATGGGGGAAGGCCGTACGATTGCCTATATTGCTTACATCCACTTCATTTGAACTTTGGTGGATAGATGTCTCATTGGTAATCATACCTCCTCTCTTTATTTTTATAAAGTAAAAAAGCAAACAAAAGTTGCAAACTTTGCAGTTCATGAACACTATAGTTACTGAATTATAATGCTTATTCAATATTAATATTTATTATGCTTCATCATTCTTTGGAGCTAATATAAAACCAGGATCAGTCATAATAAATATATGATTTATGAATATTTTTGAACACCATTAATATTTTATAAAGCATGGTTAATAACTGCTAACCATATAAATCATTCTTATAGATTTTCTTAGCGCAAGGATCTTATGGGAATAATAGATGATTCTTTTAAGTTAAAGGTGACTCCCAACATCAGACATTCAAATTTTGAATGACATTTATATTCTCAAATGCAATAATAGGTGTAGACCTGTAGAATTAAGGATTTTAGAACAATACATAGTTGATACTTTTAATTGTAAAGATCTTGTAGATATTGTTTCTGTCATGGTTGAAGGATTGGATCAGACTAGGGTTAGGAACTTATACTTCAACTAATATAGATCTACACAAGTTTCAGAAATATTGATTGAATAAAATTTGACAAAATGGTCTTTTTGACTATGGTATAACCAACTGCTTTATGACTGAGTTCATAGCATATAATATCATATTGAAAAATGCAGAGAAATGGATGAGAAACAAACAAACTAACAAAATGGTTCTGATGTACAATAGTTGTCGTCTGTTTATGTAGTTCATACGTGTTTCTCGTTTCTCATTTTATATAGATTAGACCATTGGTTTTCCCGTTTGAATGGTTTTACACTAGTAATTTTTGGGGCCCTTTATAGCTTGCTGTTCGGTGTGAGCCAAGGCTCCGTGTTGAAGGCCGTACCTTGACCTATAATAGTTTACTTTTATAAATTGTTACTTGGATGGAGAGTTGTCTCATTGGCACTCATACCACATCTTCCTATATCTATTTAAAGTAACATCATAGCATTCAGAGAGTCATGAGAATTTTCCAATGGTTTCTTCATTTGAAAAATATATTTATTCCAGGATAGATACATTGTAGTTCACTCAATCAGTTCATGACTGATTAAATCTTTATTGCTTATTTAATTACTGCATAATGGTTTAAAGTTAAGCTTCTTGAGAAACTGTATTTGGTCTTTCATAATACAATTGATGTTGAAAGAATATTTATCTAATGTCCCAGGGTGGCAATCACATTTTGTCTGGGTTCTTATATGCTTGATAATCATTTCTCACAAGAGAAAATGTATAGATTTTGTCAGAAAATTGCTCTCTGTTGTAACATCATGGACAAATTTATTTATGGCATTTTTGAAGTTAGAAAGAAGATTTTAAATTTTTGAACAGCATTAAGATTGTGCAATCTTTTTGCCAATTATTTCAATATTTTAATGGGACTTTGAATTATCTTATTATTTGAAAGATAATTTGAATGTGTTTGTTAATGTAAATTATGAGGCAAAACTATAATTTGATATTCTGGACCATTGTTTGAATATTGTAAAGCAATATCAGGGAATCACATGTTCATTAGACTATAAAGAATAATAAATTCAGCTCTTTGAAACTAAAGAGTTTCTGCATGGTCAATGAAAAGAAATGAATGATAATAGACTTTAAGATAAGAACAATTTGAGATTTTTTGCAAGTGATGGCAAATTTACAGCTCTATGAATTTGAACATTTTAATCACATTAATGATGTAACCTTAAGAGTATTATTATTTAACATAGTTTGGTATGATTCAACGTGCTCTTGTTGTATTAGTAACATTAAAGGCCAAATATTACAGGTTTGGTCCAGATACATTCTGTAATTCAACAATTGGTACTTTGGTCTGATACTCCTCTGAAATCCACTGGCATGCTGTGGAGATTGTTGGATGCTGAATAGTCTTGTTACTACTGGTATTATTTAGCCCCATCCACAATAGGAGGGCTTTATGTTTTCTGTATGCCTGTTGTCTGTCCTGTATTAGGTTGATGTTTTGGTTTCTGGTAGTTTTTCCATAAAGTTGTGGTCACATCAACTTGACAATTAGAACACATGTTTAATTAATGTGAACTTTTGAAGTTATATATACCAAATTAGGGTTTTGACCCAGATTTTGGGGTTCATTAATCAGACTTTGACCTAGCTGAAGAACCGTAGCTCTTAGGTCCTTTGTTATTTTTTTACTATTTGCAGACCATAGCTACGGTTCCGCAGCTAACTTTGACCCAGATTTTGAGGTTCATTAATCAGACTTTTGACCCAGATTTTGGGGTTCATTAATCAGACTATCTGTTCTGTTGATTCCTTGATCACTTAAAATTACTCTAATGCTTTTCTTTCTATTTTTAGAGCAAAAGAAACTCATCAGATTGCTGAGGCAAACCAAGAGAAAAACAAAAGATTGAAGGAAGCCTTTGGTATTAGTGAATATTATGTTGATGGCTCATCATTGGATCCTAACAGAAAGGCAAAGGAAGAGGAGGCAAAGGCTGTGGCTATGGCACAGAAAAAATATGCGTAAGTATAGGGTTGTGGACATTAGGGCAATGGCTATGGCACAGAAAAAATATGCGTAAGTATAGGGTTGTGGACATTAGGGCAATGGCTATGGCACAGAAAAAATATGCGTAAGTATAGGGTTGTGGACATTAGGGCAATGGCTATGACACAGAAAAAATATGCGTAAGTATAGGGTTATGGACATTAGGGCAAGGGCTATGGCACAGAAAGAATATGCGTAAGTATAGGGTTTTGAACATTAGGGGCTATGGCTAAGGCACAGAAAAAATATGCTTATGTTTAGGGTTGTGGACATTAGGGGCAATGGCTATGGCACAAAAAAAGTATGTGTTTATAGTATGGGGTTGTGGACATAATCAATATTATCTCCAAAATAATTTTTTTATCTCCAAAATGATATTTTTATAAAGTATGGAAAAACATACAAACATATTGGTTCATATGATGTACATAAGACATGCTGCATCAAATACATTTTTATAAATATTTAAAAAAAATTCAAAAACTAGGAGTAATAACAATTCATATGTTAATGCCCCTGCCATAGGCAACGGGGGCAGTAAGTGTTACCTTTGACCGTCCGTCTTTCCGTCCGTCCCATTTTTGTTTCCGCACTCTAACTTAAGTTTGTCTCATCCAAATTTTATGAAACTCGTACACAATAATAATATAATGCTATGGATCAAAACTTGCAGACAGAGTTCAAGTTTGGGCAGCGAGTCATTTACCGTTCTAGAGATATACCCCTTTTTAACTTAGAAAATTGCAAAGCTTGAGCAGGGGCATTCTTGTCCTCAGACACATTCTTCTTTTATTTCATTAAGAACTGTTGGAATAGGTTTGCAGCAGAATTTTCATTAATGTGAGTAAATATCTAAGAGTTTCCCTATATTCAAATAGCAGATAATTGTTAAATCATATAGGATATACGATATATACATATTCTTTTTGCTTTATAAAAATTTAAACACAAACAAATTTTAAGGTTCAGAAAGCAGATTTACAGGAATTTTATTCCTTTAATGATGTGAACTCAAACTCACCCGACTACATAGCATGATCAAATAATATTAAAAATGTGAAGTGATTTTCATTTTTGCATAAAATCCATAATTACACCAAAGAAAATAGGTTTAGTACATGACTATAATACATCAAACAAATGTGAAAATTAGGTTGTAAATAATGTTTTTTTTTGGGGGTAGGAAATGGATTTTATTTTGGTAAGCTGATAATTACACATCCATAATGCAGCATAACTAGAATTAATGATTTATAGACTGAAACAAAACACATCTGGTCTAGGTTCTTACAAACACAAGATTAGCTTTTAAGGAATCATTTAAGATTTATTAATGTATAGATTGTAGCAAGTTCTTAACATGCAAGTGAAACTGTTTTTGTTTTGGGGATTTCTGGTTTGACCTAATTAGAATATATAGACCACTTACTTTGATATTAATATTGATCAACTTTTATAAATTAAAATGTGAAAAATGGTTTTATCTTATCTCTACTTAGAATTTACAAAGTTAGGTGTTTTAGAAGATTTAAAAGTAAGTCACTTACAGAAATAAGTGTCGAAAAATAGAAAACCCATAGTATCAATTACCAAATAAAAGAGGAAAGCTGATTTTAAGCTATGGCTGCCATTACAAACATTGATATTTGAGGAGTTTTAAATGATAATGTAGATGTGAAGCTATGGATAGATATGTTCCTCCAATAACTTATTATAGGAATTACAATAGTACAAAATACCCATGAGGTTTGACTGATAAAGTATGATGACATCTAGTGGGTAAGATCACAGACAGTTTACAAAATCTTTATCATAGAAAAGCAAGACTACACTAGTAAATATAAATATGTGGGTCAATATGCACAATTAATTTCAGGTAGGCGGTAATGGTAACCTTTTACTCTATCGCTCGACCAATATAAATTTGGATATTTATGATGGCTTGTTTTGAAGCTGAGACATTTTCACATATATGTGGTTAAATTTTCTGGGTACGAAGTAAGATTAAATTTTCCGTAATTTAGCACACCTCTAAAAGCCTTTTGTGATGTGGCTTCTCGAGGTAAAAAATCCCTTTTTTCAGACAATAAGTTCTTTGAATTCACTTTATAATTCCATAGTTTTACACATTTATTCCTCTTCTGCTCTTTAAATCAGCACAAACAGTTAAGCTCAGTCACTTGTTAGAAATTGAAACAAATTGTCCATAAATATCAAGATCTTTTTCATGTATTATATTGTGAGTACCTCAATTTGAGGCGCATTAGGGATATTGACCTATTTATGACAAATTGTGTACCAAAGCATCTAGAAAAGCCCACTTAATATATGTAAAGATACTTTTCAGTTTATTTTAATAGGTATATTATCTCCATTCTTGGCAATGACAGATTGGTCAAACTTGCATGCATTAAAATATCAATATTGAAAATCAGAATACTCAGGACATCATTTAGTCTTGCTGACAGATAAAGTATTGTAGAGTTTAAAGTAGCTGGCCAGCATTTGGAAATGTTTTTGAAGATTTGGTAATAATTGAAAATTTTATTGGTTTGATAAAAGATGAACAGTATCAAAGGTCCAGCCCAGTCCAGCTAGAGTAGAATTGATAAAACATTGAAGAAGATAACGGAAATTAGATTTAAGGAAAGCAATATGATACATTCAAATTTTTAAATGAATTGTGTTTCTCCTATAATCTAGTGTCATCTTTGCGACATGGGAAAAGCATTTTTCGTGTTTGAGTAGTAGCTGCACTTTATTTATTCCTTGATTAACTTGAAATAATTTATCTGTCTAATTTGGTTATCTGCAACCAACATTCCATCATTTATGTATGAACAGCGATTAATAAAGGGAATTCATCTGTTATCCTTGAATTATGTACACAGACAAACTGTATTGTAAATATTCACTTTAAAAACTTTACAAATAATGAAGACAAGCCCATAGTTGTTAAATCTGATTACTCGAGTTGTTTCCGTGTCCTTGATGGAGAAAATGAGATAGACTATGATATCTTCTGTTCTTAACCTAATAACTGTCTCTTACTTCATTTACTTGGTCATGTATTAAAATGAAACATGCAACATATATTAGTTTTTGTAGAAAAATTAATTCTTTTAGCAGAACACTTAAATTTTGATGGATTCCAACATTCAGATAATTCAATCAGAATTTTTTCTTTTGTCTTTCAATTAGAATAAATTCCATATATAATCAAGAATGTGAAAAGTTCGTCATTTGAAATCTGGAAAAGTTGGTAGTTGGCTAGTCTTGAATATTGTGACAGTTTTTATACGACCGCAAAAACTTTTTGCGGTCGTATATTGGTATGACGTCGTCGTCCGAAGACACATTGGTTTTCGCACAATAACGTTAGTTTAAGGGAATGGATCTCTATGAAATTTTACCATAAGGTTCAATACCACAAAAGAAAGGTTGGGATTGATTTTGGGGGTTATGGTACAAGGTTAAGGAATTAGGGGCCAGAAATAAGCATTTTTGTAACTTCCAGACAATAACTTGTGTGTTAGTGTATGGATCTCTCTGACATTGTACCACAAGGTTCCATATCACAAAGGGAATGCTGGGATTGATTTTGGGGGTAATTGCCTCAAAATTTTAGGAATAGAGGGCTAAAAAAGGGGCAAAAAACAAGCATTGTTCTAGTTTCATGACAATAACTTATGTGCAAGTGTATGGATCTTTTTGAAATTGTACTACAAGGTTCCATATCACAAAGGGAAAGCTGGAATTGAGTTTGGGGGTAATTGCCCAAAACGTTTAGGAATAAGTGGCCAAAAATAATCATTTTTATATGCCTGTTTACGGGACGTATTATGGTATACCTCTGTCCGTCTGTCCGTCCGTCCGTCCGTCCGTCTGTCCGTCCGTCGTCAACATGTCGGACATTAACTCAAAAACGCTTTAACCAATTTGCATAAAACTTTGGTGAATTGTTTATATCTATTGACGTGAGCTCCCTTTCGTTTTTTATAAATTTTAGATTTTACGTTTCTGAGTTATGGGGTTTTATTCATTAAAAAAAGGGGGATTTTCCAGTTTTCGGACAATAACTCAAGAATGCTTTCACCAATTTGCAAGAAATTGCGGTGAATTGTTTATATCCATTGACATGAGCTCCCTTTCGATTTTCATGTATTTTAGATTTTACGTTTCCGAGTTGCAGGGTTTTATTCATAAAAAAAGGGGGATTATTAGTTTTTAGACAAAAAATCAAAAATGCTTTCAGCAGTTCTTATGAAACTTTGGTGAATTGTTTATATCTATTGATGTAAGCTCCGTTTAGAATTTTATAAATTTTACATTTTAAATTTCTGAGTTATGGGGTTTTATTCATTAAAAAGGGGAGATTTTCCAGTTTTTGGACAATAACTCAAAAATGCTTCAGCAATTCTCATGAAACTTTGGTGAATTGTTTATATCTATTGATGTAAGCTCCCTGTACATTTTCATAAATTTCTAATATGACATTGAGAATTAATTGATCTTTAATTGTTTATAGTCTGACAACAGATTTACTAAGTATTGCGCAACAGCACAGTGTATTGCACAACAGCAAGAAAGCTTTAATTGAATATAAATTCAATTCATATAACCAATTTCAAGTTCTTTGACTACATTTATTCAGAAACCTATAATATGTCAAATATTTAATACAATCCAAATTCAGACCTGTATCAAGCTTGAATATTGTGTCCATTTTTGCCCCAACTGTTCAGGGTTGGACCTCTGCGGGCGTATCATGCTGCACTCAGCGAAGCAGTTTTTTTTTTTTTCCCTTTTTTTCCTTTTTTTTTTCTTGTAAATTTTCCATTTTAAGTTGGTTATTTCTGATTTATATATAAAAGCAAATAATAATGATATGGTTTGAATAGGTAAATTAAAAATTTTCAAGTTCTTAGACCACATTCATTCTGTGTCAGAAACCTATGCTGTGTCAAATATTTAA